ATGCCTAGAATCAAAGGTATTTGGGACTTAAAGGGGATTTTTGGAATATCTGTATTTGCATAGATGCACATAATGAGGAATCTTAGAGATAAGACCCAAGTCTAAACACGAAATCCGTTTATGTTTCATATACACCTGACATACATCACCCGGAGGTGGTTATATACTCTGTGTTTAATCAAATTGTGCATGAAACAAAGTTTGTGAGACCTCACAACCTGTGAGGATGCGTGCCATAGGTGTGGGAGAAACGTCAGGAGAGAGTGCTTCTGGAACATGGCCAGTCAGCCCAGAAAACTCACAGCAACCCAGTCATTCCAGCTCTGAAAGCCTTCAACAACAAAAAGTTTGTGTACATGGAACTATTAGAAGCAAAGGTGTCCCTGTTTCAGGTACCCGGTGCACAGTTTTGGGAATTGGAGTATTTCCGACTGAGAGAAGGAACGTTCTGTGCAGAGAGCCAGTATCAGAGCTCTGTGTCCCCTTCTCCCTCCATTGCCATATAATCCAGATTATCAAAGCAGACAATCCACACTATCTGCTCTGAACTGCATTATATGAGTCTACACTACTCTATAATCCAGTACAAAGCTAATAATCAGGATTTTAGATGGCAGGACTTTAGCTGCACCCCTTTTTCAATGTTGCCATGATCTGCTTGAATGAAAGGTGAAGAATCATTATAATCCTCAATTGGGATGGGATTTTATAAATGTGGATTTAATATGATGTGGTTGAATGAATGGAAGAATGGAAGTTGCATGAGTGGAGTTGTTAATTTTGGGAGCAGCAGCAAAATATTAAGGTCTGCAATAAGTAACTACCTGCTTGCTGGACTGTGATTAAAACCTGCTAATAAGAGCTGAAAAGTAAACTCTGATAAAAACTGTGACAATAGTTCTTTCAAGTTAAGGAAATGTTTACGAACCCACACGATCTCTTCGATCATCTGGAGAGGCCTTGCTCACGATCCCACCGGCATCGCAAGCACGATTGGTGGGGACGAGGGACAGGGCCTTCTCGGTGGTGGCCCCTCGACTCTGGAACTCTCTCCCTAAGGATATCAGGCATGCCCCAACGCTGGCAGTTTTTAGGAGGAGCTTGAAAACGTGGTTGTTCCAGTGTACCTTCCCAGAATAAGGAAACTCCAAGGAAGATGTTCCCAAATGCACTTGGGAAAATGGAAGGGAAAAGGAAGAGTGGCCGACCAAGGGCAAGGTGGATGGATGGCATCCTTGAAGTGACTGGACTGACCTTGAAGGAGACCCTGGGGGTGGTGACGGCCGACAGGGAGCTCTGGCGTGGGATGGTCCATGAGGTCACGAAGAGTCGGAGACGACTGAACGAATGAACAACAAGAGATCTAGGATGTCTGCACGCCCCATCCCCCTCCAAATACCTACCCTTTTCACCTGGTCATGCCCAGCATATTTTTGAAATTTTAATTATTTCATTTGGCCCTGCCATAGATTTTAATGCGTCGTGGTATGTTGTTAATGTTTATTGCTTTGTTTTGAGTTCATTTATTGTCGTGTTGTTGTTGTTGCTGTTGTTGTTGTTGTTTTTACTGATGTATTTGGGCTCGGCCTCTTGTAAGCCGCACCAAGTCCTCCAGGAGATGGTAGCGGGGTATAAATAAAGGATTATTATTATTATTATTATTATTATTATTATTATTATTATTTGCAACATCCCTTATGTTAAAAAGGAAGTCAACATACTTACCTACTTAGGCTATCCCTCCTTGTCCGAGTAGGATAATCCTCCAGGGTGGGTCCGTAGGTGACTGCGGAGCCCTATTCTTGATCTGCATGTTCTCCCACAATGAAGGCATTGGTTTCCAGGTGGAAGGCAGTCCGGGTCTGGGTTGGCTTGATGCACCTTCTTCTTGGCACGATTCTCTCTTTCACCCACCATTAGTGCCTCTTCAAATTCTGCAGCACTGCTGGTCACAGCTGACCTCCAGCTGGAGCGCTCAAGGGCCAGGTCCTCCCAGTTCTCTCTCGGTGTCTGCCAAAGTTTTAAAGGTTGGCTTGTGTCCAGAGGAGAGCTACTAAAATGATAAAAGGTCTGGAGAACAAGCCCTATGAGGAGCGGCTTAAGGAGCTGGGCATGTTTAGCCTGAAGAAGAGAAGGCTGAGAGGGGATGAGAGTCATGTATAAATAAATGGAGGAGGAGGAGGAGGGAGCAAGCTTCCTTTCTGCTTCCTTGGAGACTAGGACGCAATGGAACAATGGCGTCAAACTACAAGAGAGGAGATTCCATCTGAACATGAGGAAGAACTTCCTGACTGTGAGAGCCGTTCAGCAGTGGAACTCTCTGCCCGAGTGTGGTGGAGGCTCCTTCTTTGGAAGCTTTTAAACAGAGGCTGGATGGCCATCTGTCAGGGGGTGATTTGAATGCAATATTCCTGCTTCTTGGCAGGGGGTTGGACTGGATGGCCCATGAGGTCTCTTCCAACTTTGATTCTATGATCTTTAAATCTCTTTTCCTGTCCACCAACATTCCGTTTTCCGTTCTTGAGTTCGGAGTAGAGCAACTGCTTGGGAGACGGTGGTCAGGCATCTGGACAACGTGGCCAGTCCAGCGGAGTTGATGGCGGAGGACCATCGCTTCAATGCTGGTGGTCTTTGCTTCTCCCCGCACGCTGACATTTGTCCGCTTGTCTTCCCCAAGAGATTTGCAGGATTTTCCAGAGGCAGAGCTGATGGAATCGTTCCAGGAGTTGCATGTGATGTCTGTAGACAGTCCACGTTTCGCAGGCGTATAGCAGGGTTGGGTTGGGAGGACAATAGCTTTATAAACAAGCCCCTTGGTCTCCCTACGGATGTCCCGGTCCTCAAACACTCTCTGCTTCATTTGGAAACATAATATCAACACCTATCAAGAAGCGTCAACATCTGGCCAGGAAACTGAGATGGATCCAGGATGGAAGACATCTATCATTAACTTACAACTTTGGGATGACATCAACAGAATATTCCTATAAAATACTCAGTCTAATAATGCTCAAAGTGTGGCAGACCTGAGGAGTCTGGTCCATCCACTGTGCCCTGCTCCATGGGAAGGAGAGAGATGGTGTACCTATGGAGAGTGGCAGACTTGCACGGGAGCAGTCTGGTCACTTTGGGGCTTCTTTCTCAAGGGAAGAAGAAGAAGTGCGCTTTTGGAGTCTTAGATTTTGTGCAGGGAGTCAGGTTCTGCTGTAGGGAAAACAGAGATCTGGTCCTTGGCATTGTGCTTAGGGAAGAAGTTTTGGCATTTCAGCATTTTGAAGTTTTGGCAATATGGAACTACGCATTGACCGACTGCAGGAAAGCAAGGTGCTTCTCCAAGGAGGGAGAATATTTAGGTGCACGAGGATGAATGCATGTACGTGTGTGTGAATGTTGAGTGAAAATATAATTCCCCTTTGTTTATTTGTTAGCCATGTAATTGTATCTAATGCAGTTGCATAGAACCTGTCTGTCTGCATATCCAATGTCATACTATATCTAATTTTCTTTTTGTAATCTGATCTACCCTCTCACACTGGAAATTGCAATAAAAAGAACCTATGCTTTAAAGTTATTGAAAAGTCATTCATGACAAATGATTTAAGTGGGAAGTGTCATTCTCCAACTCATAGAATCCTAGAATCCTAGAGTTGGAAGAGACCTCCTGGGCCATCATCCAGTCCAACCCCATTCTGCCAAGAAGCAGGAATATTGCATTCAAATCACCCCTGACGGATGGCCATCCAGCCTCTGTTTAAAAGCTTCCAAAGAAGGAGCCTCCACCACACTCCCTCCGGGGCAGAGAGTTCCACTGCTGAACAGCTCTCACAGTCAGGAAGTTTATTTTTATTTATTTATTTATTTGGGGCGTTTCTACCCCGCCCTTCTCAACCCCCGAGGGGGGACTCATGGCAGCTTACAAAAGGCACAATTCGATGCCCAACAATTCACAAAATACAATATACAATTTACAATTTAACATCAACAGTTAGTACTAGTTAAAACAATCAAATCAATACAATAACAGCAATAAAATCATCGTGTGGTCAATGTTCGCCGATTTATAAATCCATTATCCATCCAGCATTGTCATTGTCCTTTCCTACTCTGGTCGTCATTGTCTTTGGTCCATCTGCCAGCTTACCTGAAGGCCTGGTCCCAAATCCAGGTATTTAACTTCCTCCTGAAGGAGAGGAGGGATGTTGATGACCTAATTTCCCCGGGGAGCGCATTCCACAGGCGAGGGGCCACCACCGAGAAGGCCCTGTCCCTCGTCCCCACCAGCCTCACTTGTGATAAAGGTGGGGCCGAGAGCAGGGCCTCCCCGGAAGATCTTAAACTCCGAGGTGGGACATAGAGGGAGATAAGTTCTTCCTCATGTTCAGATGGAATCTCCTTTCTTGTAAGTTTGAAGCCATTGTTCCATTGCGTCCTAGTCTCCAGGGAAGCAGAAAGGAAGCTTGCTCCCTCCTCCTCCCTGTGTCTTCCTCTCACATATTTATACATGGCTATCATGTCTCCTCTCATCCTTCTCTTCTTCAGGCTAAACATGCCCAGCTCCTTAAGCCGCTCCTCATAGGGCTTGTTCTCCAGACCCTTCATCATTTTAGTTGCCCTCCTCTGAACACATTCCAGCTTGCCAATATTGTGATGCCCAGTAGGCCTCTAAATATCTGTACTCATGTCTGCCTCCAAATTGCTTGTCAACTTATGGCAACCCCATGGATTTTATTAAACAAGAAAACAATCGTGATCAGATAGCCCTTGCGCAAGTCCCAATGGTTTCAACTGGAGAAGTACAATTGAACAAAACCCATTGCATGATATGACACTTTCCTATGGTCGCACTGACATTATTCATTGGGGTTTCTGACCTAGTAAGCAAGCCTGACCCATTGCATGTTACTGGTTCTGCATCGACTGCAAACCCCGAACGTTCATGAGATTTGTCAACAAATAGCTCGAAGTCACTGTTCTTTCTTTCTTTCTTTCTCTTCTTCCAGCTACATTGCTTTGATCGCGATGGCCATCCAGCAGAGCCCGTCCAACAAGGTCACCCTGTCTGGGATTTACGACTTCATCATGAAAAAGTTCCCTTATTACCGGACCAACCAGCGGGCCTGGCAGAACTCCATCCGGCACAACCTCTCCCTCAACAGCTGCTTTGTCAAGGTAAGACGGTCACAAAGCGCCTTCAAGATTCAGGGAGATCCCACTCCCTTTTCAGCCTTTGTACTACTACTACTACTACTAGTGATAGTGATAATAATAATACTACTAATAATAGCAGAAACCCCAGAGGCCATCCAGTCCAACCTCCTTCTGCCTTGCAGGAAAAGCACAATCAAAGCACCCTCAAGAGATAGCCATCCAGCCTTTGTACTACTACTACTACTAGTGATAGTGGTAATAATAATAATAATAATAATAATAATAATAATAATAATAATAATAGCAGAAACCCCAGAGGCCATCCAGTCCAACCTCCTTCTGCCTTGCAGGAAAAGCACAATCAAAGCACCCTCAAGAGATAGCCATCCAGCCTTTGTACTACTACTACTACTAGTGATAGTGGTAATAATAATAATAATAATACTACTAATAATAGCAGAAACCCCAGAGGCCATCCAGTCCAACCTCCTTCTGCCTTGCAGGAAAAGCACAATCAAAGCACCCTCAAGAGATAGCCATCCAGCCTTTGTACTACTACTACTACTAGTGATAATAGTAATAATAATAATAATAATAATAATAATAATAATAATAATAATAATAGCAGAAACCCCAGAGGCCATCCAGTCCAACCTCCTTCTGCCTTGCAGGAAAAGCACAATCAAAGCACCCTCAAGAGATAGCCATCCAGCCTTTGTACTACTACTACTACTAGTGATAGTGGTAATAATAATAATAATAATAATAATAATAATAATAATAATAGCAGAAACCCCAGAGGCCATCCAGTCCAACCTCCTTCTGCCTTGCAGGAAAAGCACAATCAAAGCACCCCCAACAGATGGCCATCCAGCCTTTGTACTACTACTACTACTACTAGTAGTAGTAGTGATAGTGATAGTAATAATACTACTAATAATAACAGAAACCCCAGAAGCCATCCAGTCCAACCTCCTTCTGCCTTGCTGGAAAAGCACAATCAAAGCACCCCCAACAAATGGCCATCCAGCCTTTGTACTACTACTACTACTACGAGTGATTGTGATGATGATGATGATGATGATGATGATGATGATGATGATAATAATAATAATAATAATAATAATAATAATAATACCAGAGGCCATCCAGTCCAACCTTCTTCTGCCTTGCAGGAAAAGCACAATCAAAGCACCCCCAACAGATTGCCATCCAGCCTTTGTACTACTACTACTAGTAGTAGTAATAGTGATAGTGATAATCTGAAGTTCCCCAAATCCCCAGCTAACATGGTCAGGATGATGGGCATCACACTAAACAAGGAAATGGGAAAGCATTGTGATCTACGTTTCCCAATCATGCTGTACATGCCACTACCCTAAACCAGGGATGTTTTGCTAGATTATTAAAAACATAATAATATAAACAAACATGGAACACTCCCTTATTCTTAGCCATGCTGCACATCCAACCAAGAATTAGGATCTCTCTGTTTTTTCCCCAAGTGCCAAATTTGCCGAAATTTGTGCTTGCAAATGCAAGCAAATACCACATTTCGCAGGCATATAGCAGGGTAAACAAGTCCCCTGGAAGTCATAGAATCCTAGAATCAAAGAGTTGGAAGAGACCTCATGGGCCATCCAGTCCAACCCCCTGCCAAGAAGCAGGAATATTGCATTCAAATCACCCCCCACAGATGGCCATCCAGCCTCTGTTTAAAAGCTTCCAAAGAAGGAGCCTCCACCACACTCCGGGGCAGAGAGTTCCACTGCTGAACGGCTCTCACAGTCAGGAAGTTCTTCCTCATGTTCAGATGGAATCTCCTCTCTTGTAGTTTGAAGCCATTGTTCCATTGCATCCTAGTCTCCAGGGAAGCAGAAAGGAAGCTTGCTCCCTCCTCCTCCCTGTGGCTTCCTCTCACATATTTACACATGGGTATCATGTCTCCTCTCAGCCTTCTCTTCTTCAGGCTAAACATGCCCAGCTCCTTAAGCCGCTCCTCATAGGGCTTGTTCTCCAGACCCTTGATCATTTTAGTCGCCCTCCTCTGGACACATTCCAGCTTGTCAATATCTCTCTTGAATTGTGGTGCCCAGAATTGGACACAATATTCCAGGTGTGGTCTAACCAAAGCAGAATAGAGCATGGGGAGCATGACTTCCCTGGATTTAGACACTATGCTCCTCTTGATGCAGGACAAAATCCCATTGGCTTTTTTTGCCGCCACATCACATTGTTGGCTCTTGTTTAACTTGTTGTCCACAAGGACTCCAAGATCTTTTTCACACGTACTGCTCTCGAGCCAGGCGTCATCATCTCCCATTCTGTATCTTTGCATTTCGTTTTTCCTGCCAAAGTGGAGTATCTTGCATTTGTCCCTGTTGAACTTCATTTTGTTAGTTTTGGCCCATCATCTCTCTAATCTGTCAAGATCGTTTAGAGAGATCTCCCAACGGATGTCCTGGTCCTCAACACTGTCTGCTTCATTAGGAAGAATGCTGCACTCGCAGAGCTCAGGAGGTGTATTTCAGTGTCAATGTTGACTTTTGTGGAGAGGTGGCTGCCAAGGGAGTGGAAATGGCATAGCAGATGGATTGCCTGGTGCATGCTGGAAGATCACTTTGTTCTTCTTGATGTTCAATCAGAGGCTCAGGTTCTTGTATGCTTCTGCAAATGTGTTGAGAGTGGATTGTAGGTCTTCTTCTGAATGTGCACAGACTATGTTATCATTGGCATATTGGAGTTCTATAACAGATGTTGTTGTAAGCCCATCTTTATTTGCATAATTTCTACCCTGCTCATATCAGCCCGAAGGCGACTCAGAGCGGCGATCTTTCAATCTTTTTTCCCATCCTCCAATGTTACGCTTCCCATTCTTGAGTTCAGAGTAGAGTCACTGCTTTGGGAGATGTGGCCAGTCCAGCGGAGGTGATGGTGGAGGAGCATGGCTTCAATGCTGGTAGTCTTTGCTTCTTGATGTTCAATCAGAGGCTCAGCTTCTTGTATGCTTCTGTAAAGGTGTTTAGAGTGGTTTGTAGGTCTTCCTCTGAATGCGCACAGAGTACGTTATCATCGGCATATTGGAGTTCTATAACAGATCTTGTTGTAAGCCCATTTTTCAATCTTTTTCCTCGTCCTCCAATGTTACATTTCCCATTCTTGAGTTCAGAGTAGAGTCACTGCTTTGGGAGACGTGGCCAATCCAGCGGTGATGATGGTGGAGGAGCATGGCTTCAATGCTGGTAGTCTTTGCTTCTTGATGTTCAGTCAGAGGCTCAGCTTCTTGTATGCTTCTGCAAAGGTGTTGAGAGTGGATTGTAGGTCTTCCTCTGAATGCGCACAGAGTACGTTATCATCGGCATATTGGAGTTCTATAACAGATGTTGTTGTAAGCCCGTCTTTCAATTTTTTTCCTGTCCTCTAATGTTACGTTTCCCATTCTTGAGTTCAGAGTAGAGTAACTGCTTTGGGAGGTGTGGCCAGTCCAGCAGAGTTGATGGTAGAGGATCATCGCTTCAATGCTGATGGTCTTTGCTTCTTCCAGCACGCTGACATTTCTCCGCCTGTCTTCCCAAGAAATTTGCAGGATTTTTCAGAGGCAGCACTGATGGAATCATTCCAGGAGTTGCATGTGACATCTGTAGACAGTCCATGTTTCACAGGCATATAGCAGGGTTGGGAGGACAATAGCTTTGCATTCAGAGGAGACATGCAAAAAGAGAGGTCTTTCCCAGGATCCTGTTCCTGGTCTTTTCATCTAGAACAGTGGTTCTCAACCTTCCTAATGCTGTGACCCCTAAATACAGTTCCTCTTGTTGTAGTGACCCCCAACCATAAAATTATTTTTGTTGCTACTTTAGAACCGTAATTATTCTACTGTTATGAATCGTAATGTAAATGTATTTTCATTGTTACAAATTGAACATAATTAAAGCATAGTGATTAATCAGGGAAACAACATGTTTTGGGGAGGTTGGACAATGGATGATGGGATCTACAGTACCTCTGTGTAGTGGAATCTACCTTTAAGACGACAAGGCTGAAGCCTGCATGACAGTAGCTGTCATCTTGGAAGGCAGGCAGAGATAGGAGGAGGAGTCAAGCCGACTCCTGATTGGGTATAGCAATTAGGGGAGGAGTCGGTTGAGAGAGGGAAATAAGCTGTCAGCTTTGGAGAGAGGAGGAGAAGTGTTTGGAGTTCAGACACAGAAGGATGGAATGTTAAGATAGGAAGTTACAGTAGGAATCTGACAGGGAAAGAAAGTTTTAAGTGAGCCTTTAGAATAGGGAATAAGCAGACAGACAAGGGCTAYGGTTACTGTATWAYTAGGATRAGTAACAGAAAYACRTGTCTGTTTATACTGAGYAAAAGTATAAGAGWGCTTATTTGCCCTGTYGGAGAGACAGATAGGGARCTGTTCTCCYAGTYWTACWGTMRCTAAAGATAGAGCAYTGTGMTTAAGGYATCTCACAGRTGATAAAWGCTTTACTGTCAGMGGAACTARTTGRTTAAGTAACTAAGTCTCWACAWCTGAATTACGCTTCTGTACCMCTCATTATATGAGWKGATYTTTGTTTAAAGWTRAATAAATCTTTCTTAGTTCACTGTTAACTGGTGTATGCCTCAGTCTATCCATTTCCTCAGAACTCACTCTGTCAAACCATTTTAAAGTCCAGTCAGCCAGTGAAGAAGCCATAGAAGAACAAGGGCAAACACACCTCACCTACAACACATTCACACCTTTGGTACCTCAGGCCAATAAAAGCTGAGGTGGTGGCAGTCATACCTAACAAGAACATCGGTCATTTATAATATTTTATTCTCTCTTGCCTTGAGGAGCAGAGGTGGGATTGATTGCTTGTCCCCTCTGCCAAGATTATCGTTGATTGATTTTTATTATACTCTGACTTCCACAGACTTGGGTTGCCCAGCTCGGGGGGCAGGATCTGGCCCTGTGGGGAGCCATTTTGAGGAAGGGGCATGGCCAAAGGAGGTGACCTCGCGACCCCTCCAAAATGGC